AAAATGCACATGTGATAGATTTCATGCGAACGCGATTGTTTACTGTTTAAAAATAGCCGTTTAGTTCGTTATTGGAATTATACTCCGGAACGCGATGGTGTGTAACACGACACAATATGTATCCTACGCCTTGCCACGAACATCTGGAGTTAGATCTACAGAATATTTTTCCGCATGACTTAACAATTTCCCTTTTCACCATTTTTGTAAAAAACATTCCACCATCGTGTCACTGTACATCTTTATATGAATCGGCAAAAGACTTGTCGACATGACGGAGAAGATGCGATGATGATGGTGGAATAGAAAACATGCCAGGCGTTCGTTGGTATACTTCCTGACAATTGTATGTTCCTTACCCCCTCCCCAAAGAATCGATACTTATTACCTCCTCCCATCTCTAAGCCAACACCGAAAAGCTACAACCGTTTGCATTTATTTGAGGGCTAGCCCCGGGCTGAGTCGCTCTGGTGGTTCAGATTGTCAAAACGATTGAAATCACAGCATTACTATTTGCAGCTGCACGCAAGGTTCCAGGTCAGGGGTAAAATTGTTTTGTTTTGAAAAATTCCCAATAATTCAGGTAGGAAATGGGTGTCGCCGTGTCGGCCAGGTATGCCATTGTACCTAAACGGTTCAATCGACTTAAGAGTCTGTGTTTCTCTCCAATAACTTGACCAATCACGTATGCTGTTTTGATCACATGATTACCTCCCGCGAAGAAAAAAGCATAAACTTCGCGCAGTGTAAACGGTAAAAGAAACAGGAGAAAATAGTAAAGGCCATCAAAGTTGACAATAAACTTTCAAAGTTACTCAAAGCCGAAACAGTTTGTCTAACACGAAAAACAATATGTTTTGAAAGAAACAAGACCAATGCCTCAGTTATATCGGGTTGACATGTGATTATCCGTGCGAGGAGTATGCCCCCTGGGCAAATTACTACTCTCTCACAGGCCTGGGACCGATGAAGACACAAAGTGATTACAAAAAACACATACTGAGCAGGCCAAAACAAACAAGTTTCTCATATATATTTAATTAACCAATTAAACTTGGAATTGTTGTACTAGATCGGTGTATTGGAAAATAATCGAATTAACAATTTCGAGTTTATGAACGCATCGGTGCCCGTGACCTCATAGCTAGAACTCCCATACACAATATAAGGACAGTTTTGTTCTGATGTTTGTTTTCCCTAGTAAGGATACACGGCTCATTGAGGGAAAACCGCGTACAACACTGAATTGTGTGATTTCCCGAGGTCTCCAGTATTTTGTAGTGCCATAATATATACATATACATATATATATATATATATATATTAGTTATTTTATATCTATAGAATTGATTTACTCAGCGAACAATATTGGGTGAAGTTAAATAGTAGTAGCAGTAGGGAAATGTGATATCATGCCGTGACTGGGAAGTTTAAAAATCATAGATACGTTTTTTTTATTGTTTTTTTTTTTGCCAAAGTTTTTAATCTGTGCAATATTGCCAAAATGACTATTGTGGCACCAAATGTAAACATTGGTCAACCACATATGCCGTGTTTCATTGCATATCACCATGTGTTTATCTGATACAACAATTCTTTACTCCGTATTACATTGGTTTAACCACGGTCCCTCTAACACATATGAACAACTTGATGAAAAACGCAGTTGATGCCATTCAATGCTTCTCCTTTTAAACCCTAGTGTCGGCATTTGTGCCGTAATTTGGTCCAGATATATGGTACGTACTAAATAGGGCTACGTCATCCACATAAACATATCATTGGACTAAAGTTATTAGTTATCAAGAAAAAAATACACTTTTCGCATCGTGCGCAGGAGTCACCTCGACAAGTCGCGTGTAAACAGTACCCTCTGCTTAAATGAAACCCAGAATTTTAAAAAAAAATGTATTTTTCGATCAGTGCGACTGAATCAACAGAGTAAAGTTTGTTTGCAGTGATAAACTAATCAGTTGGAAGTGGCCGCGTACTAGAGTCTTATAAACGAGATAGTTTCACGCCATCAAGCCGCGTACTAAGTGAAATATGAGAAGCGCGATAAGGATGATTTGAAACCAAGACAAACTTTTTTATAATGAATAAAGATGCGGCTCCAATTAAATATATAAATATATAGAATATTCTTGATACTTCTTGTTTGAAACATTTGTTTTGAATTAAATCTTATCTTAAATAACGCATAGGACGGAAATTGGAAATGAAATTGAAATAGTAAAAATATCAAGATATCCAGATGTGCGTAGCGTGTGTTTTGTTTGTTTACGTTGTTACACTGAATAACACACTTCAGTTGATTAAATGTCGATTTGTACCTCGAAACGCTCGCGACCAATCAATCAATGATTACAGCAGGTGTCTTAATTCAACATATATATTCATTTTAAAAAGAAATGTTATGAAGCCATAAACAACACATAGTAGAACATAACTTTCCAATGATTCTATTGGTCATCAGTGTGTTTTAATGGATGTCACGAGGTAAGATCAAAGCGTCTTTACTGCGATTCTCATTCACGAAT